GATGTTGGACTGTAACTAATCAATCATCGTTGCTTTTGTAGCCGGTCCAGCAGGGATTCAATTGAATACATGAAGGTGCACTTCATATGTTGTTATGAGGTTATTGAAGACCACATTTGACTTTAAATGGATGTGAGAACACAATGACTGAATGTATGTCTGATAGAAGCTTGTTTAAATTATCCTCAAACGTGGATAATTTTTTTAAATGGCCATGTATGTATACTGTGTGTGAAAAAATATGTTCCCTATAGTTTCATTTTTTTGCAGTTATCACTTACTCTGTAAGTTTTTGACATCAAGGATGTCACAATTTAATTAGTAACAAGATGAAAAAGTAACACTAGAAAATATAACACAGGCTGCAACTGACATTACACATGACTAAACATAAAATATATCCTCTTCTTCCGTTGTTACTATGACTGTCGTAATATACATTTCCACTGTGTCCTTACAGAACTGCAAAAGACAACCTCAACTAAACTGTTTCCTTACAGTAAACTGATGAACTTGGTGAACTTAATTTATGTTGTCAAACTGTAGACTTGGGAGCATCATTTTCAAAATGTATCAAGAATAATAACTTGAGAAGGAAGCAGGAGCTTAAAAATGACAGATATGAAGCATAGACTTCATGGCCATTTATGGAAAATAACCTGCTCTGTATATTTGTCATTCTAAAGGGCTGCTGCTGCTTCCTTTTCAAGTTATTATACTTGTGTATGCTGTTTAACATACAGTAGAACTGGTTCACTATATTCTGCTTTCAGTAGTTTTCTTAAGCATACAGTAGCAGTCGCTGCAGTATTTCACTTTTAAATGTCTCATCATCTAACAGACAGCACCCACTGTCACAGCTCAGCAGGAGTCTGATACATGTATCACCATGAAGGCTTAGGCAGTTTGTTTGCAACATTGGTCACACAAATACAAAACAGTTGGCAACAGGCAGACAGACTAATCCAAAGACCTGAGTAAGTAAGTAGGTAAAGCTTTATTTATATAGCACCTTTTTGACACAGAGATCCAAAGTGCTTTACAAACAACAAATATACATATGGGTATAACCATACCCAATCAAACAAACAT